GTTACAATTGCACATCGGCTTCCTTATTCTTCGGTCAACTTCTACGCCTATGAACGCTACAAGAGTGTAAGTGAGACTGCTGTGTTAAACTCATTTTCGTGCAGTTGAACTGGTTTGACAGTGTACGGTACCTTTGGAACTTGAATGTTAAGGTTGTCTTTCCTCCTGATCTGCTTGTCTTTTTCCAGTTATTGAAATCAATTCCGGCATTCAGTAGTCATGGTGGAAATGCAAGTACAGATGTCTTTGTGCATTTTATAGGTGGTGGATTAGCAGGCATAACGGCTGCTTCTGCCACATATCCTTTGGACCTTGTCCGGACCCGACTTGCAGCGCAGGTATAGTCATTTGACTGCACTTATACTCTTTGTAAAGATGAAGTATTTTACTCCCCTTTTAGTTTTGTCTTACCCTTCTTAGTTGACTGGTATGTTTACAATTATACAGAGGAGTGCAATATATTATCATGGCATCTGGCATGCACTTAGTACCATTTGCAGAGATGAAGGCTTTTATGGTCTGTATAAAGGGCTAGGAGCAACACTGTTGGTAATTTTTTTCTTGGGTTATGTGCTCTTGTATTGATGCATCACTTGTTACTGTAAATTTTTGGGTGATTAATCAAGGCTGGAATCAGTAAGGCTGTTAACGTTATTACATGTAATGCAGGGTGTTGGACCCAGTATAGCCATAAGCTTTTCAGTCTATGAGACATTGAGATCATTTTGGCATTCAGAAAGGTGAGTTATAATTGTTCTCAGCAACTTTTGATGTTAGTGCAGGCTGATCTGTAGCTTTTTGTGGTGTGATTCTGGATATGACGTTCACTTGTTATCAGGCCTGATGATTCTACTGTCGTGGTAAGCCTTGCTTGTGGGAGTCTTTCAGGCATTGCATCATCGACTGGTAACCTCTCAACCACCTTAATGGAGTTAAATTATGACAACATTTTCTTCCCTTTCAACAGTTTGGTACTCAACTTACATTAGCGATCACATGCTCATGTTGAAAAATTGTCCATCTAAATTGGGCAGTTTATTTTGTTTTATAAAGTGGTTGTCTTGGCATGGGATCTTTTTTTATTTTTTCCTGTGGTTTGATGGGGGGGTAGATATCCTGATATGCAAGGCAAACTGATTATGCCCTAGGTTGTTTGTCGTCGGTATTGAAAATTGTCACATTACATGTCATATTCATTCTTCTTAGAATACTCGAGACGTGTCCATCAAGGAGTCTGGGTTTGCTGAGTAGGATTTTAACTTATTTTCTGTGCCATGTCATCTCTCGAAAAATCTTACTATGAATATGTCAAAATAGTTCATAGTGCTAATTTGATTTTATTTGCTCATCCAAATGGCTAAAATGTTGACCAGATTACCAGTGAATGGAGAAGCTCTTAACTATTAACTCCTCTTTGAAGACAACTTAATCATCCTTTTCGTGAAATCAGTGACAGGTTAATTTCTTTTATTTTAAGTGATAAAAAGTGGGATGATTGGATTTAATTGTCCAAGTTTCAAATTATATATGGCTGAGCACATGGTAGTCTTGTACGCTGAATGCTGCTATCATGAAATACAAAGTAACTAATGAGATTTTTTTTAGTGATTGACAATGGGTTTTCCAAAACCCTAGGTAGTTTTGTAAACTTGTACATTATATACATGATCTACTGCTATTTGTGAAGAAGATGATGAACATTTTTTTTCCTTCTGTTCTCCTATAATTTGATGCAGCAACTTTCCCTCTGGATCTTGTGAGGCGGAGAATGCAATTGGAGGGGGTTGGTGGTCGTGCTCGCGTGTATAATACTGGTTTGTTGGGGACATTTGGGCACATAATCCGCACTGAAGGCCTACGCGGCTTGTATAGAGGAATAATGCCAGAGTACTACAAAGTGGTACCTAGCGTAGGGATTGTTTTCATGACATATGAAACACTGAAGAATCTTCTATCCAGTGGGCCTTTTAACTCATAGTCGGTGTGGCGTCTCCTACCACTGTCTGTGTTGCAACTTACCATTCGCTTGACAGGTAGAAATCAATCAGTCTCTCAATTTTGTTTAGGATACATGTAAGGGTAAATTTTCTTATATTACCTGGGGTTAGAATCCATGGTAAATTTTGTAGTTGCTGCCATGAAACATTTTTTATTCGATGTATAGGCTATTAGATAGTAGCAATCTCTCAAAGGGGAAATGTATCACTCCTGTTGCAGATGTAGGTCCTTTTTCGGGAACGTGTTTCTTAACTGATGATTTAAATCATCATGAAGTGTTGTTGTTGCAATTGATTTATAAGAATATAGCATTATGTTTCCAACAGGGTGAGGGAGGTTGAGCATTATTATTGTCGGCATGGTCTGGTTGACGAGTTTTAGCACATTGAAATGCCCGAAGATGCGCCTCTTAAGGAGAAGGTACATAATGGCAATGAATACTTCTCTCTCTATGGACAGCATGAGAACAGTAATCGGAATTGTATACAATGTCTAAATATGAATCTATTACATACTCACATGGGCTTCTTCGGTGATCTATTAAGTGAAATCGTTGGTTAATTACTGCGACAGCATAGCAATTAATCAAATTTCTTGGTATAATCTATCCTGCCTGGACCAAATAGGAACGTAGCCATGCAGAGCGTACGCGAATCCAGGAACTGAGATGACCAAGGAAGTAGGTACTAACTACTTGTACTATTGTTTAATCGAAAGCTAATTTGTTTTAGCAGATCATAAAAAAGAAAGAATCAATAAAAGTGGAGGAAATGAAATAGATCGGTTAACGCTATCTCTCAGGGAGAAGCCAATTCAATATTCAATTGAAGTCAAAAGAAAAGGAGAGCCCCATTAATTGTCTTTTTTATTCGTCTCACTAGTGTCAGGATTGAGAGTGCTAGGAAAATTCTAAGCCCATAATTGTCTTTTATGTACTAACTACTTCCTAATATGTTTTGTCGGAGAACTCCAAAAGTGCTTCTCCTTGGGGGACATGTACCACCTGACGAGTGAAGACGCTCAGACAAGCATGAGCGGAGCCAGCCACAAATGGAAAAGGCACGCATTCACTCTCCATCTTCGCTTGCAGTTCAGGCCTGATCAGCTAAGTTGGCGAATTTAAGCGTGCAAGTTGTCACTGATTTGGTGTCATTCCTGGGGTCAATGCCAGGCTATGACGAGGAATGATGAAGATTATGGGCCTTATTATCTCTGACATCCCCACGTAAGATTTGTTAATCTACTTCTGTAGAGGGTAGACGACTTCTGGTTAAGAAAAGCGCACTCGAGCACCTTTGCATTAACTGCTAGGGAATTCTATCCTACAACCTACACCGGTACACCTCAACAATAAACTTAAAAAGTTCTTGTATGTGCTCAAGTAACCTGAAGAAGTGTATTTTTTTTTCTTTTTTTAAATAAGAGACTTGAATTCAAAATTTTCTAAAAAGTTAGTAGTTAACTTGTTGTCTATATGCCCTTGTGGGGTTGCCATTCCACATCGGTTCTTGGGGGGTTTGGGGTTGGGTTTATAAGTTTCTGGGAGGACCTCAAAAGTTGCCGGCTTTTGAGGTTTCTTTTGGGATTTGGTTTATTAATCTAACTTTCGTCAAAAAAAAAAAAGCTAATTCTTAGGAAAAGGTCAAGAGGCAAATTTCTGCACAGGGTAGTTATACTGGGTTTCGTGGGGGGTCGTCACTTCTTAGTAGCAGCGGGCCTACTGGCTTGCCCTTGTGGGGTTGCCATCCCACATCGGTTCTTGGGAGGGTTTGGGGTTGGGTTTATAAGTCTCTGGGAGGACCTCAAAAGTTGCCGGCTTTTGAGGTTTCTTCTGGGATTAGGTTTATTAATCTAACTTTCGTCAAAAAAAAAAAAAAAACTTGTTGTCTATATAGTGTAAAATAATAATGTTAAAAGTTTGATTTCAAACAGCTACTCTGGGCGTCATTTAAGCAACAGCTATGCTTTTGAACAAGATTCGAACGTTCTACTTGAAAATATTAGCCACGCACTTTGAGTAACAGTATGTGTAGTCCATCTACCATGGACAAGGTATCTATGGAGTGCATATTTTGCCAACTTTAAAATCAAACAAAATATATCAAGGATTCCTCTACTTTGGGCACAGCATAAGAGATGGATTGGATAAATAGTTGCCTGCAAATGTTTAAATCTCTTGGGGTTAAAGTTCTTTGAATTCAGGGGATGGATGATAAAATCTTATCCTTTCCCTTTAGGCAGGGTATATGATAGAAAGGAACCATATATCAATCGACATATTAATCGATCCCTATTTTCTGTATTCAATGCAGCAAGTAGTGGGTTTTTTTTTTTGGGGGGGTTCCTTTTTGGTAATTCATATATCCAGTGCACAAAGATATAGTTGAGGCAGCAGGTAGTGCCAGCTAATTGCCCTTTTAGATTGCAATTTTTAGGAGTTTTTGTAGAAAAATTTAATATATGTGAAGTAAAAAGATTATTAAAAAATATGTTCACGAAAAATGTAAAAAAAATTTTGGGGAACAAATCACAATCCAAACAAGGCCAAGCTTCTACAATCGCTGGTCCCATGGTTCAAAGACTCGGCCGAGTCGTCACCGTCTCGGGCCTTCCCGATACGATACTGAGACGATACGGTTCCGAGATACTTGACTCGCCGAGACGTCACTGTGAAAAGTTAAAACGGCCGAATTACTTGGAGTCATCCCGAGTTGACTCGAATTTTTATTATTTTTACTAATTTTTTAATGATTTTGTTTATCACATTGTTTACAAATTTTAAAATATTAAATATTTCAAAAATTTGCGTCTCGCCGAAACCGCGATCGATGTGGAACGGTCCGACCCGCGACCGCAATCGCTACCGCGACTTTGAACCATGACTGGTCCTCCGGAGAAAGCAGTCAAGGGTGGGAGAAACGTCATTGTCTAAATAAAGGGAGTTGTCACCCTATCATTGGCTGGGGAGGAACAGAATCAACGACTGGTTCCAGGTGAGAGCACCTTATCTTATTCATAGCCTTATAATGCATCTATCTCTTTAATTGATTGATTATACTGACCTCTCCTCTATTTCGAGAATGATATATGCTAATTAACTTTATCAGCTATTATAAATTCCTCATCTGGTGTGCATGAGCTTATCAACCCTTGTTGTTTTAAGTTGTAACATACAGAGGGCTCGTGCATAACTACATTAATGCCCTAAGTAATTGCCCTCAGATTCACTCGGTGGTGTTCTTGAATCTTGACGTAGTTGATATTGGGTTAGGATCTAGGTAATCTGCATCCTGAGGTTTAGAGCAGTTTATGGTTTTGTTGATCAATCTAGTCCTCAGGATACAGATTACCTCGTCCTTACTGACAATGCATTATCTGTTCAATCTTCTTGTGAATACAAAAGAAACAGGATACTTAAAGGTAGCAGTCGTTGGAGGTGAGCATCTGCATCTTTTGTTCTTTTTCTGGTTATGATTTTGTTTTTGCACTTTGAAGGAGGCCTCATCAGACTTCAGCAAAGAACCTGCTGGTCTAGACTACTTAACCGTAGTCTTGATATTCTGTTTATGTCTTTTAGCATGTCCTTTGGTATTTGAGGGTGGGGGCAAACGGCACAGCTGCGAGGGAAACTAATTAGTGTACTACTTCAAGCTTGTAGATTATGCATGATTGGATGATGATAAAGAAATGGATGAATAGGTCTACTACTTCCCACTTTAAACAAATTATTCTGCCTTGGTAGGCCAACTAGTATTTACTTGCTGAATTTCATTAATAAGTAACAATTACGTTTCAATGAATGATGGGAGCTGAAGTTTTTGCTTAGGCCCCCTCTGCTATGCTAATTGCTCTTTCTTTTTTTGATGGTTTTTTTTTGGGGGGGGGGGGGGGGTATGCTAGTTCTTTACTCCTACTTTGGAAGACTCGTATTGAACCTCCTCGTATTGAATTTCGTTCCAAAGGTGCGCTATGTTTCATGCGGCAACGTAAATCGGAATGTTCCCCAAATTCATGCAAATCCAATCGGGGTATTTACTTCAAGAAATGACTTCAGATAGGACATGGACGGGAAAATGGCAGCTTCCGGTCTTTGAGTCCACTCATAGATCATGTGATAGTATGTAATAGTCTCACGTATTTTCATACGTTTTCATAAATTACTTATTATCATTACCTTTTTTTTTATGTTTATCATTATATATTACTCACCATATCATACATCATGCACCATCATTTCTTACATTACCATATACCATGATACTATGTAGCTGTTGCATGTACCCATGATTTACAAATATTTTCCCAGATGTACACTTCAATGATTATGGTGGCATGTTCACTGCCACTGTGCTAAAGCAGATAGCTGCTGATTTAGACGTGCATATGTTTTACGAATAAATTCGAACTTGCCATTGTATTCCTTGGGGCAATTTTTGTCCAGTATCCTGATTGATAATTAATTTTAGACCAACTAAACATGAATGCTTTATGGAGGATTGCCCAAGAATTTTCCCCCACTTCCTCCTTAGCATATTCCAATAAAGGAAAAGGGAAAGATCGCTTTCTGAGGGATCAGCAAGCAAATGGGATACTGAACTCGTTTTAAAGCATATTTTGATCTCCTTAAAAATTCCAAGTTGCAGGAAAAAGCTACCTGCAAATTTGTAAAGCTGCATTGGGTGATGAACAGACTTTAAGGATCAAACTTTACCAATGCATCCCATTCCATATTATAAAAAACAAGTCTCTCTCTTAGAGTTAAGAACTAAAGATTTGAGTATGGATGGTAATGCGAGCAGGTGCTGGAGAGAAATGGAGCAGAAGAGGACAAATTGGCTCCATCCGATCCTGGATGAGAGGAGTCAATCTCCGACAACACATGAAATTAAATGAAGTAATTGTATAGTTAAAATTAATGGATGAGGAAAGAATATATACTGTTTCTTGTTTATCTTCTTTCTTGTGTATCGCTTGTAGTAAAAAAAATAAATAATAATAAAGAAAAAGCGAGTGTATTTTGTTAGATTAGTTTGCTTGATTCTTTTTGTTTTTTCTCTTCATGTATTGCACGTTATTTTTGAAAGACTAAGAAAAATAACACCTATTGCTAGGGGTGGCAATTTTCGACACGACCTGAAAACACGACACGAACCTAACACGAAATTAATGGGTTTGGGTTGAGGTTTTGGGAATTCGGGTCAGAATCGGGTTGGACCCGAGGAACCCGAAAAGAAAACATGTCGATTTCGAGTCAACCCGTGGTGACCTGATATGACCCGATATGACCCGTTTACGAATTAAAAATAATTTAATAAATATAAAAATAATTTTATCTAACTAACCTAAGTTATTCTTTTTTTCAAAGGCATTAATTACTTAATCATAAATGAATTTATTTAATTTGTGTGAAGTTGAAATTATTATATTTGGACAAATAATATATTATATTATTTTTTACTTTTATACTGTTTTAATTTATTTTATATTTTGTTTTGGATAAAACACTTTTACGGTGTTTAATTTATTTTAGATTTGGTTTGGAATTACTTATTTAAATTTTTATTACTTGATTATGTAATTAGTTTTGTGAGAAATTGATTTTATTAGAAATTACAGTGATAAATTAATAAATTAAAATTAAGTTTCGGGTCATTTCGGGTCGACCCGCCAACCCGTCAACCTGAAATTTTCGGGTTCGGGTCAGCATACCTGACCCGTCACGGGTTGGCGGGTCGGGTTCGGGTCAACAAATTTTCTGGCGGGTTGACCCGAACCCGACCCGCCAACCTGATTTGGACCCGAATTGCCACCCCTACCTATTGCTTTCCATGGAGAAAATCAAAACGATATCTAAACTTCATTTCATGCTAAAATTTTTTATTAAAAATTCAAAAGAATAAGTAGAAAATGGTTATGGGTATTATAAATACAAAAACTGTAATTGTAAAAAAAAAAAAAAAAAATTGTAGTGGCATCCGTGTGCACTCCCAGCTAAAGGGGCACCCCAAACCCTCCCATGCCATTCCTAGAGTTGAAGGCTATGTGAATCTGCTGCAGCCTTTTAGTATCTGCTTCCTCGATCTCCCCCCTTTGTTATCAACTTATAATGGTGACACACGAGTATAAACTGAGGAATTCAGCTTGCTGTATTAGACAGTGAGATGTGCAGCTTCTACTAACTATTTCGGTATCAGGAACAGAACGAGGTAGAATTAAACATTGAGCTTGAAGAAGGCAGCTGCATGCGCATGAGCTTTCCTCCACCATGTTTAGCTCCCTAGTTAATTTGAACAAAGCATCAGCAACCTAGAAATGGTCCTCATTTGAATGGTTTTAGACAAAGGAGAACTCAAAATCTTGAAAAGTGGCCGGAAAGCTTCGAATCTGTTGTTTTTGTGGAGGGTAGTGCAATCGATTTTAGACCAGCCATAGAACTAAGAAAGGGCCGACATGCAGGTCGGAAGCTTAAATATCAAGCTCAACTGGGACGATACCTACAATGGCAATACCGCTATTTTTTGGGGGATCCAACAGGGTAATGCATCATTATCTATCCAACAGGGTAGTATATATCAAGTTCCCTCCTCCCTTTGTTTTTTTTGGGTGGGGGTGGGGAGGAGGAGGGGGAGGCAAGAAGTGTTTTGAGTTCCTTAGTCTAGTCTCCCGAGTCCTCAAAAGTATTCCTGATTAGTTAATTGTAGCTTTTACTTTCCGTTAATGCAAAGGGGGCTTGCAATCATTCCAGTTTGGGCTGATAAGAATCCATTGTAAAAGCCATCACCTAGTACAGCTCCTCAATCATCAATTCCTATATTTCATGGTACCTGCAGGGAGATGCTTCCGGGGCATTTTTCCCTGGTGGTTTAAAAATTTCTTTTGCTTGCCCTGAACCTGATTTAATCATTTTGACACACTCTTGTCCCTTTCTCTCCTCCTCAATTTATTTGCGTAATACCAGTAGTTAGCTTCAAAAGCGAGTGTAGTAGTAGCATTCGGCTTCAGAAATCATGGTTTTGTTATTCCAAGAATATTGTCCATGATTAGAAATGAGTGCGTCTGAAACATAATTAACCTCTACATTGTACAACAATGATCATTAACGAAGTACTCGCTTTTTATAGAGAAACGTGAACTAAGAAACCTTTTGACTGGACAAGCCTCACGAGTTAAAAAGCAGATAAACCATAAGTAGATAAGTAATCAAAGCATCGTGCGCATTACACGCTCTTTAAAACCAAACCAACAAGTTGAAGAGAAAGCACTCGCTCCATTGTTCAGAAAACTACTCCATTGAAGTTGCTAGAACACAAAATACACTAGTAGTACTAGCACACAGGAGATGATGGTTTTAACAAATGATTCACTGAGATTATTGTTATTCAAATGTTATTAAAGCGGGATCACTTCTTGCAGAAATAACACCTACATCCGTACAATTATATCATTCCCCAGCGATTTACAGGGGAAAAAAATCATTGTACAACTGAACAAATCCACCCTAAAACTTGTAAAGAAAAGAACAATTAACTTAAAAAGTGAATTTCCTTTTCCAAGATTACCTCGTCCCAACAAAATTTTGAAGCCTTATGACCATACCCTCAAAAAAAAAAAAAAAAGAAAAAAAGAGGGAACTTTATGACCATGAAGCGTTTTCTTGCAAAAAGACATTCCAGAACCAGAAAACCCCAAATTTTCCGATTCCCCACAATAATGTAACGATGGTTCATGCAGGCATCCCATTCGCCGCTTGGCTTCCTCAGTTAAATGCCTCCAACAAGTACCTAGAGAGCAAGGGAAATCTCCATAATGCACCTCTCTTAAATCTCAGGTTTCACGTGATTCCGTCACCTTGATCTCAGCAAGAAGATGCTGAGTTCTTGACCCGGCCCATCATCCGGGTTGATTAGATGAAACGACTCCGAGTCCGCATTCCCTATCACACACTCATAGTTGGCCCTCATGTACATGAGCTCCTCGGACCCGGATCCGGGTCCTGATCCAAACCCGGATGGGATCACACCCGCCCCCACGGTTGTGGACTGCATGGTCTTCAGCATGAGTCGATTCTGATCAGTGGCCTTCCGGCGGACGGCGAACCCGAGTTTCCTGCCGTTGCAGAACAAAGTCCAGACTGGGACAGAGTGGAGAGGGCAGCGACTGAGCTCCGACTCCGGGGAGTCGTCCTTGAACTCGAGAGCGATTCTGACGAGGCCGCAACGCATTTCTTGGATCAATGTGGAGGTCGGGATGGAAAGCTCGAGGAGGAGGGCGGGTTTAGTATTAAGGCGGTCGTGTTGGACGCAGAACCAGACGTGACCGCCCCGACGGTGGCCAAAGATGGTGCCGATAACCATTGTCTTGGAGGGGCGCGGTGGAGCGGACGGCGGAGCGATGGTGGTTGGGGTGGGAGGCTCAGAGGAGTCTTCTTCGACTTGGTTATCGTGGTGCTGGGAATGTGGGTCGTCGAGGTCGTCACGGAGGGAGGTGCTGAGGCGTTTCTTGGGGGTGGCGGTGGCGGTGGTGGTGGAGGGGTGGACTGGAGAAGTAGAGGCCGGGTGGATGCAAGCGAGAAGAAACCGTCGTAGGGCGTTGATCTTCGTCATGGTATTCGCCTTTCGGAGTTGCTTTTTTTTTTCCCTTTTCTTCTTGATGAGTGATGATTTATCTGTGAGAAGGGGGGCCCTTTTTGGGCGGGTTTTTCTCAACTTCGAGAAGAAGAAGAGCAACGGATGAAGGAATAGAATAAGGGGTTCGCTTCGGCCCCAGAAGGATTCTTCAAAGAAGAAGAAAGCTTTAAAAAAAAAAAAAAAAAATTTGGTGGGGGGTAATCTTATTTGCGGTGTAATTTGGTTGGGAGATTTTAGAAGACGATTGGGGGATAAAAATGGGGAGGAGGTTTCGTCTTTGGGATGGGGTCCCAAGGGATTTATAATTATTGGGAAGCCAAGAGGGTGAGATGAGAGTAAAGGCGGGTTTCCATTCTGGATTTGGGCCTCAACCGCCTCATTCCCAGCCCAGCCCATATGAAGCGTCATTTAACGACGCCACTTTCCCAAGTCAGGAGGAGGGGGCAAATCCATTATCCCCTTCGCATGGAAAGGAAGAATGCAGGTCGGGTGAATGTTGTTGGATAAGAAGACGCAAAGTAGACTTAATAATTTAGAATGCTACTGCTACTACTACTAGTCTGAGTAGCCTTTAGGAGCATGATTGGAGGTAGATTATAGATTAGGGCGTAGTAGTAGGGCAGTCCGGGAGGTCTGTCCTCCTATTCGCGGACTGAGGAGGAGTGAATTTTAGGCTTTGTGCTGATAGGGTTGGTTGTAGGGGAAGGAAGCGACAAAAAAGGCTGAAGGGTTTTCAGGGAACGAAGATTCAGGTTTTTTTTTTTTGTTGACCAGTGACCCAATAATGACAGATTTTGACTTCAGGAGGCTTTACTTTGTCCTACAATCAATCTTACATAATAAAACGATTAGGACACGTGTAGACTGAAAAGAGAGCTGGGGAGGGAGGATGCAGCGGGAGACAGGAAATGGGACTCCAGCTGGACTTTGGAGTTTGGCCTCCGAGCAATTGGGCATGGGTCGATTATTTTACTTCAGCTAGGGTGTCCTAAAATTTTCCCCGTGTTTCCTTCCTTCCTACCTACTGTGTAGCCCAGATTCACTCGCCTGGGCAATGCTCTGGTCCTGCTTTGCAAAGAGTTCCCAGCCAGGATCTTTGCAAAAAACCCCCTTCCGTAATCCTCTGCTCCGCGCCAGTGTTGTACAGATCAATAAGCGTAAGATCCATGCTGCAATACTGCATCATAGGAGGAAGATGATGCATAGAAGGGTGTTTGTGTTGTCATTCGATACTACAATCTCCTGGTATCTTCATCTGCAGATCGCAGACTGATTTTCCCATTTGTATATTGGGCGATCCTACGGATTTTGAGGCTTTCTTTCTCTTCTTTTCTGTTTTGAGGTTAAACTTACCATCCAAACGTATTGGTTATTGAATATACACACACACACACAC